TGCCACAACACGGGGCCCCCGAGGGGAGAAAGGGGGGGGGGGGGGAGGTAAGACTTAGAATATGTCATGTTAGGGGACAGAGGATCCCTCCACCCCCCACTATGGATCCCTAGAATGGGGATCCTGGTTGGGAGACAGGTGGGATGTGAATTCACTGAGTAATGCTGGATTGTACGGATGCTCATTAACAGAAGAAGTGTATTTTAGCATTGATAGTAATGTATTGAAATAATGTGATTTGGATGGACCTTTACCCATTTCATGCGTGTTAATGTAAGATATGTATTAATATATTAAATATTAATACAGTCCTATTTATAAACAAAAAGTTTATTTTTTTATTATGATTTAAACTTCAGACTGTATTTTAGAATCCAATTTTGTAAAAATCAAATTGAGTAATATCACACACATTTGAATAATATGCCCGCACTAATGTACTGATATATACAGTATACACACACAAACACAGATAGAGAGAGTGATGGTTGTACATTATAAAATAAATGGAAACATTCAGTAACTATAACTCATGATATCACAAAAAGGTGACAATAAGCCTTTTGCATCACAGAAACCAGTAGAAAATAAATTGAGCGAAAAGCTTTTATGATCTAACATGACTAAAACTGACTTCACACCTTTACACGTTACTGCTACATACATGTGTTAGTGCGTTCTGGTGCCACTCATTCTATATGGCACCCAAGGCACTAAGGCAATGGACCTGCATTACAACGCATCACGAAGCATGGTAAAGCACTACCATGCTCTGCAGTGCACTGCATTGCTAAAAAAAAAAAGGGTCAGGTGTGGTTTTTGGTTTGCTAATGTGCATTGGCCACCCATTCAAAATGAATGAAATGCCTTAACAGAACATATGGTATAATGTGGGATAACCCATCACAGTACACCACAAAGGTGTGAAGGGGGCCTAAGAAGTTTGCTTAACAGATTAGAAGTGCAAACATTATTTAAACATAATTTATTGTGGTTCTTTAACTAAAGCAATAGTTCACTGAGCTTACTAAATTTGATGAAGCTGTATTTGCATCAACCTATCATGTGCTAGAAAAAAAAAGTTATGTTTTTAATTAACCACACACACATGATTTGGTATTTAGCATTAACATCCAGAAGCTTTCCCTTCCCTTTGCTAAGTGAACATTTATCTTACTAAGTGAAAAGCCTGTATTTCTTTTGTAAATAAACCCCGAAGACTAAGTTACGTTTTCCAACTGAATAAATACAAATACTTTCAATACTGGATAATCTGAAATTATTATCTTTCACATCACACCTGCAGTATTCACACACTGTTGTTTACTTCTACTGTGATTGGCTGGCAGGTAGTTACAAGTGCTCTATAAATTATAATTATGTGACAGATCTTACTGGCTTTTGGATTCATCCTTGTGGTAATGGCACATTATATCATGTTGCTGTGTTTCACTCTGCTGCTCGCTGTCGGAATAGCACAGTCTGGACTCATTATTAATCTGGTAAGGTGAACATTTTAAAATAAAATGTATAGGTGCTGTATTGAGATTCTCCAGTAAGATATATATTAGCCCATGGGATCCCTGTGCAGACTTTAAATATACCTGAACTATTTATCTTGCAGAGTTATCCAATGGCTGTTATGTCCGAAACTTCTCTGCCACACATTGTTGAGGAGGTTTATAGTATGGTTCTGCTCACTCATCTAGTCAGAGTATCAATAATACAAGGCTGCTTGATTGGATCTAACCTTGGATACACTTAATCTGAAAAGAGCTGGAATCTGTTGTGTTAAATCATTTTATGGCTTCTTGTATCTCTTGGAAAGTCCAATGGTAGATCTCTGACACCATGACAAATCTAAAGCTGGCCATACACCTATAGATTTTCTATAGTCAGATGGAAAAAGTGCAACAGATTCCTGAAAATACCTGAACAATCTGATTGGATGCAGGCATTGTTCAGGTATTTTGAGAGCCAGCGGGGCCGACTAGCAAGGTACTGAAGCTTGGCACAGCAGGAGATTCCTCCATCCACACAGTTTAGTGTACATGGAGGAATCTGTTGTACTTTTTCCATCTGACCATAGAAAATCTGCAGATAACCTTCTCCAAACTATTCACCTTTTTGTGAATAACCCTGTAAGTGTTACTACGGGGTTATATAGGAGCAGTTTATTTATTTTCTTCACTTTTAAAGCTTGCTTAAACTGACATCTTATACAGATCATAGGTCATCCTTTTAATCTGCTATGCTATGAGTAAACCATAGAAGATACAATGAAGCAATAATATTCATTGTAACTCTTGTTGACACTGCAAATGTTTTTCAGTGTCAGTTTACACAGGAGCAAAGGATTTTCTGTGTAAAAAAAAAACAAAACAGCCCGGCTGTCAAAATGACAGCTGGGAATTGCTAGTTAATGTGGCCGGAACACTGAGGGAAAAAGAGCTGTGCATACTACACTTGCCTAAATTATTAAGGCATCCATGCGCAGCTATTCACACATATAGTTTGTTTTTTCCTGAATATTCCTGAATAATGTATTCTTGAATAATGTACACCAACACACCATTGACTCTACTCTAGAGAACACCCTTGTATTACCAAATGCCTCAATTAGATTTGCAGCTTCTTCTCTGTTAAAGCGTTGTATTAACAAAGATATGCTTTCATTTTAGGACACTGGAGAGCTTTGCCTTCAAAGCATTCAGTGTAAGAGTAACTGTTGCCATAGAAAGGATGGGTTGAGTTTGGCACGGTGCGCTCCCCTAGCTGCTGAAAACCAGAAGTGTTCCCCTTGGGTGAGTATCTGGAATAACTGGTATGTTCAGTGCATCTCTGTATGGTGGATAATAGGTATCCCTTTCACTGCATGCAGTAAAGTGCAAATACAATACTAATAATGCAGAGTATATAAGTCCAATCAAGACCTGAAATATAAGTTAAGTAAAATTATTAAATGAAAGAAAATATTTATATTATAGTAAAGAATGATGCAGAGCTTAGAGGATCCAATAATATATGAATGGTGCAGTAAAGGCAGATGCAGTATTCTCAAAGCAAATATACTCTTAATTATCCTCAGAAAAATAGAAAGAAAGTTAAAAAGACAGAGATCTGTTATTTAAACTTTTTTTTACAGCAAATGTTTCCATGCAGACATTTTGTATATGCTTTATATTGGAAGCCATTCAGGATGCTCTAACTCCTTGAGGTGCACATTATCACACTGCCCTACCTCAAATAACATTCAAAATCAGTATCACTTGCCTTCATCTACAGTATGGCCAGCCAAACAAAAATTCTAATTTGTTTGCCCAAATCAATACATAGCATTACATTTAATATTTTTAAAATTATTTTCATAATTGTGCATCATTGCAATATTTTAAGTCAGGTTAGGACCAGGAAAACAATAGCATTTTGTGTAAAACAATGATTCTGGTAGAGAAGTATTACTTAGGGTACCAAACTTGTGTTCATACAGGCAGCAAATGTTAAAAATCAGGCCCCGGGGACATCATGAAAGTAAATGATAAAACAGGCCTTATATGACTTACCATGTATACACTCTTAATGTATATATGCCTAGTAACAGGAGGTAATAATGGCAAAACCAGTAAAAAAATTTAAAGTATACTTCCACTTTTGAAGTAAATTTTTTTGAGAAAAACAAACAATACATTTGTGATGATCCCATTCACACAGAATAAAAACAAATTACAAAAATATTTCTTACCTTTTAGATGTTTCTATAGCGCAAACCTTTGGGCACTATGCAAGCTACTCTTAAAAAGTTTAAAGTGAGTCTGTACCAAAGACAAAATGGGAACAGAGTTAGTTGCCCCTATTAACATACAATGCAAGAGGCAAAGCCTCTCGATTTGAAACCCCTTGTTAGGACAGACAATCGTCAAATCCAGTTTATAACTACCATGTTGTACTAATCAGATGTGTCAAAACATGTAACATAGTTAGTCAGGTTAAAAAAAGACACAAGTCCATTGAGTTCAACCTATAGAGATACGGAGAGAAGAAAAGCCTAAACAGAAAGCTATGCCCACAATTACCCCCTGTTGATCCAGAGGAAGGCACAAAAAAAACCTAAAAGCATAGGTCAATTTGCTCCAACAGGGGAAAATGATGCTTAATATACCTATAAGAACTCAATATCCAGTAATATTCTGTGCATTTAGGAATACATCCAGATTTTTTTATAACTGAGTTAGTTAACTCAGTTAACTGAGCTAGCTAGAACTAGCTCCTGGGGGAGTCTATTCCACATTTTCACAGCTCTAACTGTGAAGAATCCCTTCCGTATGCAAAGGTTAAACCTCTTTTCCTCCAGACGCAAAGAGTGCCCCCTTATCCCTTGCAGTGACCTTAAAGTGAATAATTTGGCACCAAGCTCACTATATGGACCATTTATGTATTTATACATGGTGATCATGTCCCCCCTTAACCGCCTCTTCTCCAGAGAGAACAAATTCAGGTCAGCTAATCGTTCCTCATAGCTGAGCTCCTTCATGCCTCTTATGAGTTTAGTCGCCTTTTGCTGCACTTTCACCAGTTCCACAACATCCTTTTTGTGAACTAGTTCCCAAAACTGAACTGCATATTCCAGATGAGGTCTTACTAATTGCTTTGTACAGGGGCAGGATTATGTCTCTATCTCTGGAGTCTAGACCCCTTTTATTACAAGAAAGTATTTTGCTTGCTTTAGAAACTGCAGCTTGACGTTGCATGCTATTATTCAGTCTATGGTCTACCAGAACACCCAGATCTTTCTCCATCATTGACTCCCCCAAACATACTCTCCCTAGAATGTATGATGCATGCATGTTTTTAGTCCCCAAGTGCATAACTCTACATTTATCAACATTAAACCTCATTTGCTAAATAGATGCCCAATCACACAGTGCATTCAGATCTGCTTGTAAGCTGGAGACATCCTGTAAGGACTGTATTCCACTACATAACTTGGTGTCATCTGCAAACACAAATAAAGAATAAGTGTTATCTCAATTTGGCTGAAAAAGTGGACTTTAAAAAAAGTTTGGAGGATTTCCTAACAACGAACTCTGCATTCAAAAGTAAATCTGTAATATTTTTACCCAGGGAATAAACATATTACATCCATGAGGTTGTTCAGGCCCAAAGTTGCTAAAGTCTGAGAGGTTGAATTCGACAGATAACTGTTTTTGTTTTTCAAATGTAAAAAGAAATATGGAACAAATAGTATTTCAAATAATATTTTCTATAGCTAGTAGCAGTTAAGTCACATTCAACTGCACTGCACTGGTTCTGTTATGCTGAAAACATTTAAAAACTTCACAACATATCCTAGCCACTACTTCAGTTCTAATGAGTGTCTAGAACATACCCCAGCACACAGGTAACCAGTTGCAATAATCCAATCACCAACCTGTGTGGATATAAATTCTGGGGTAAAGATCTGGACACTCATTAGAACTTGTGAAGCTGCTTGGATTAGCAGCAAAACATCTTCAACATTACAGAAAAAGTCCAGTTAAATGTAACTAACTACCGCTAAGTATACCATGATCTGGATAAACTAAAACCTTTAAAGACAAATGTACTTCAAAAGGGAAAATGTAACTTTTCAGATAGCATTAACAGAAATATCAACTTTAATCAATGTCCAAAGGCATAAGAAAGGCACTCCAACTGCTGTTAGATAAATTGAGGAAGAGGTTCTGAAAAATGTACTGGCAGTATTTCATGGTCCTTTCAATTTTATTAAATCGTCAGGATGATTACAGATAAATATGAATAGCACAAAACAGGCTGGCTCAAATGGATGTCGGTATGACATGTATTGTCATTATACTACATAGATAAATTAACTGATTTAATTTTCAGTAACTTTAATGTCTTTCTTTTTGTAGCACCTCTATGGAGTCTACTATCACTGTAATTGTGAAATGGGACTAAAGTGTAAAGTAAACCACACTCTTGTTGGACTCGTCACCAACACAGACTTCGGATACTGCAAGGACCCAAATGATCCATGAAAATAAAATCAACAACTAACATGGGCTACATGTTTTTATCTTTATGCTTTTAAAATTCTATCAGATTCCTTTCTAAAAGAAGCATATATTGGTACCTCCGAAACAAATTAAGAATCTACTAACCCATTTCTGTAAATAGTATCATGTTGCTATTAAAACGCTTACCTTTTCTACACTAGATTAAGTTGCAAATATACTTGCTGAACAGATATATAAAATGTATTTAGAACACAAGCATTGACTCAATCCACCCACTGATCATTGACAGTAGCCAAAAATCCAATATCCTCAAAAATAAAACATAAATGAGACAGAATAGTACAGTGATTCAGGAATGTGACAGGCATGTAGGCATAGTGAATCTGTTATGTGGGCCTAGTGATAGATGTGTGGGCAATAAAAACATGCAAGAATTGCTGTAAGAGACATGCTGCTCTGGAGTAAATAAAATGCAGCATACAGCTTTAAAATAATGATCTGCTATTTAACAACTAAATACAATCTATATTCATTCACTTTCTTTTGGATGGGAAATGTGCTAATATGCAATCAGCTCTCTGACTCATGCTTTGTGTCTATGCCTGCACTGTCTAGCATCTCATGTTAATTGGTGGTACAGCACATACAGCAAAAGAGTAAACATACCGTTTTTTGAGATTAACTCTTTTCTTCTTGGCATTTCCTCGTGGCACAATATCACTCAGCTAGTACATACTCACTAGGACTAGTTACACAAAGGAATTCTACAGCCTTAGCAGTTAGAAGTTTCAGGGCATCCAGGGATGTACTACCCCTAACAAATTTAGGCATTGGGGGCAAAGAGATAGCATTTCCCTGCATAGTTATTAGTCAACTATTTTTTCCATTAATATTAGGAATAGTGATCCCATGGAAGCTTCTTTACATATCACAACATTCTAAGCTAGCTTAGGACCAGGAAGACAGGGATATTTCTGTGAAAAGAGGTGATCTCAGCAGAGGGTTGTTACTTAGAGAAACAAAAAATGGAGTCCCTACAGGCTTCAGTGATAAAATCTGACTACGGGGGTACGTAAAGAGATTATATTAAAAAAAGGTGACATTTACTAAAGATAATCTGGTATTATTTTAACCTAACAAATTGTTGTCAGTGTGGTTCTGATGTACAGTGGAGCGCGAAGCTTTGGGATGGAGAGCAGGGGGACAGTAAGCATGTGTCTCCTGTTTATGGGCCCCTTGAATGAACACAGGAATGCCCAGTATAAACACTCACAGGGTTATTCACAAAAGGGTGAAGAGTTCGGAGAAGGCAGGAGAAGTGAACAATGAAGGCAAAAATTGCGTATTTGGAAACATTCTCCAATTCCGCTCACTTTCCAGTTCAGCTATGTTGTCCTAGATTGTTCACGTCTCCTGTCTTCTCCAAACGCTTCACCCTTTTGTGAATAACCCCGTTCATATATGAAGAGATGGTAAACATGAGTCACGTTTACTATCTCCTCTTTGTGCATGAACATGAAGAGCTCTGTGTGACGTACGGCCGGCCCGAACCCGCTGTACATCAAATCATACATGACTATACGCAGTTCTGATACCACACTTAGCCTCTACAAAGATTTCCCAGCTCGCAGGACAACAATCTCAGGTCAGCAGACTGAGAGCGATCGTCACTAGGGTTGGTTAACTCCGCAATTAACCCTTTACACATCAAACGTTCACTGCCACCACGTACTTTAATGGAAGTACACACCGATCTCAGCAAGTGCTGCTACACTTCAAAAAATTTAAACAAAGCCTATGATACTGCTGTCCTCTCAGACAGGAACATGACAGGTTTCAGTATACAGTAGCGCTCTTTACAGAGGCAAGGATACTTTAAAATCGTATTTAGAGCGTAGAGATAAGCTTAACGATTTTTAAGATTGTCCTTAAAGAAAAGAAACGGTGCCCGAAAATATACAGAAAAAGATATTAATAAAGGGAGACAAAATATATATACAACAGTAAAACAAAAGGGAATAAAAAGAGAATACTTAACAATCCTGGTTTTAGGAGTTCTGACAGAGTCCAAAGTTTAATAAGCAAAAGAGAGGTCTGAAGGTCTCTTCTTCAGGCACGCTTGCACAGATGATGTCCAGATATTAAAGGGGAACTCTTCTGCGATGTTAAGACTTCTTAATGTTGACAGAGTTCCTTTGCTTGATGTTACAAAACAAGAGCCTCCCTAGCTGCCTCGGCAGCATCTTTTTGTCAGCCCTCTAGGGGGTGTCACGGAGCTGGCCCCTAGGACAGGGCTGGGGAGGGAGAGCAGGAGGGACAAGCCTTTACGATTTCCCCCTCTGCACCTCCCAAATGGTTGAATTCAGAGCTAAGAGGATAGTGGAGTATTCATACACCATATGGTCCAACAACCCCTAAATTATGATGCGTCATGAAGTTATCTTTAGATTGAGATTAAACGTGCCAGAGATTTAAATAATGGGGGGGGCAGGAAGGTAAATGTCACCTGTCTAGCTGTGGCTCATTCTAAACTATTTATTCCCAAGTAATCTTCCAGGACAGCATCTGAGAGATAGTCTCCTCCCACCTGAAACAGGAAACACATCACATACACCAAATAAAAGGGCACTTCCCCCCAGCATGCCTCAGTTATTTGTGTTTCCTCGGCCTAAACAGGAGCATGGGGAATGTTTGTTATTTTTCTGTATAGGCCTACGTGCACGTGGCAGAGGCTTACTGCTTGGGCATCTCCTTAACAGAGCCAGCGGCTTGGGGATGCCTGGGCAAGATCCCTAGGGCAGTCCCCATCCTGTCCTACCCATTTGGGTGAAGGCCCTGAGGTTCCCCTCTTTTAAGAAGGTAACCATCCTCAGCTTGTGACGGCTCCAGCTGAGTTTTTCCCCAGCAAGCAGGCGAAAGCTGCCCTCGACGGCCATTTGGTATCAGAGAGGGTTCTCTGATGCTGGCCCTCCCGGTCTTAAGTGGGGACCCCCCTTTTTTCTTCCTCCCTGACCGATCCCTGCGGTGTGCCTCGAACCCCTAAAGAAACGGAGTACATACTGCAGCCGGGGTCGGTAGCCGGTCTTTTCATTTTTTTGTTCAGGAGATGCATCCGCTACACGGGTCGTCCAGCCAGAGCGTCTTCTGGGCATGGCGGCGCACGGCAGTGACGTTAGACGCCGGGGGCGTGGCGTTGCTCGTGGAGGCACTGGGGAGAGGTTACTGGAGAGGGGGAAGTAACGTCGTGCTCGGCGCACTTCCGGTCCGGCCATAAAAGAGCTCCTCTTGAATGCCACACCGCTGACCAGGGGAGAGAGGTGCAGCTGCCTGCCGAACAACCTTGAGACACCAGCAAGGGGGGTACAAGCGGAGCGGGGGCAGAGAGCGTGGATCTTCGCATCGGTCAGCGACCATGCCGGCAGACTCCGCAACAGTTGCTGCACCCACTGATCTGGGAGAACCCTCTGCAGCCAGCTCTAAGGTAGGCAAGAGCTGAGCACTTTTTACTGCCTTGTACCTTTGGTGGTGGGGCCCCTTTTTGGCAAAGGTACATGAGGGGGCATACTGGCTTTTGGGGAGGGGGCCAACCCTAACGACACATTATGTGTTTTGTTGTTTCAGTCCAGAAACCCTGAAGATAAGCCCTTAACCGTGCCCTCAGGCTCTAGTCCCAAGTACAGGAAGTGTGCATCTTGCAACGACAGATTAGCATCCTCACACAAACAGCCACTATGCCAGCCATGCTTAGAAAAGCTTGTGGCGGAAGAATCAGCGGGGAAATTTAGGAGCTTACTTGACAGCATGAGGGAGGAAATGGTGGCTACTTTTCATTCCCTGCGCTCGGTCATTCAGGTTCAGCCTGGCCCCCCCTGCACAGATCCGGCCCTGCCGGGGCCTTCCGGGGTTCAGTCCGGCAGGTCAGAGAGCTGTACCAGTCGAGGGAAACTGTGAAATCCGGAGATTCTTCCTCCGATTCGGGGGAGGACGAATCTACGGAAGAGGGCTAGCTTAGGGCTTCCAGATACCTTTTATCAGCGTCAGACACCAACGAGTTACTCAAGGCGGTCTACGAAACCCTGGGGATCAAGGAAGAGCAAGCTGAACTGTCAGTACATGACAGGCTTTACAAGGGGTTGCAATCTAAAAAAGGCAGGACTTTCCCGGTCCATCAGTCCTTAAAAGACCTTATCCAAGCGGAATGGGCTGATCCGGAGAAGAAGCTTCATTTTCCCCCTTGGCTAAAAAGGAGATTTCCATTTAGCGAGGAGGACTGTGGGATCTGGGAAAAGTGCCCCAAACTTGATGCTTCCCTTTCCAAAGTGTCCAAGAAAACTGATTTATCTTTTGAGGACATGGGGGCCCTAAAGGAACCCATGGACAAAAAAGCTGACGCGCTGCTCCGTAAAGCCTGGGAGGCAGCGGCTACTTACAGTTTTTTGTTTATTGTTCCTATTTTTGTTTTTTGCATTTTGAACCGGACATTCTTCTTTGGACTACACAGGGAATTCAGCATGGGGCACCCCTTTCAACCCTGTTCTCGCACAAATCTATTGCATTTTTTCCACTTTTAATCTTCCCTGCAGGAATTGCTGACATAGGATCGACCAGGGGCACTGGAACACCTGGTTATCCTTTCCATCATTGGTTGTTTCTTTTACATCTCTGGAGGTCTTCTTCTTTATTCTTCCCATGGGACCCCCCTTGAAATTAATCTCGTGGAATGTGAAAGGTCTGAGATCGCCACACAAAAGGTCCAAAATCCTACGTCACCTTAAGAAGCTACGGGCTGATATAGCACTTCTTCAGGAAACTCATCTTTCAAGCAAGGACATTCAACGCATGAAACAATCGCTCCCTTGTGATGTTCTTCAGCAACAACACGATATGCAGGACGGTCGCTGGTCCTTCATCTCCCTACGTATTGGCACCAGACATTTGGATATCTTAATGTTTACGGGTCCAATTCGGACAATAAGCCTTTTTGCGAGTTCCTTTTATCCAAAGCTACCTCTCAACAACCT